AGCTTTAAATGTACTATTTTATTTCATAGTGCTTAAATCAGCCTGTGTTCATGCTGAATAGGCTGGCCTGGCAAGACAAATATTGAGTTAAGTCCAGCTTGAAAAGTTAGATAAGACCAGATAACTTGAAGATTAAACGAAGTAGATATATGGGGTTTGTGTTTTTTTTTCATTATCAAGGATTTCTTGATCCATTCTTCTAATAAGTCAATCACTGTATTTCTCTTTGTCCCTATAAAATCACAGTTAGATTGAAGACAACTTGCAAAGGCGGTTTAGTCTTCGGTCAGTGACGGTCTTGAATTTCAAAATCAGTTTTCTCAGTCATATGTGTATCGGATCAAGTTGTCTTACCACATTAGCACAGCGATATAGAATTATTTGAAGATGAATCCCGGGGTAGTAGGAAAGGTTTGGGTATAGAAACATAGAAAAGCTGTAAGGAGATTTCTTTGCTCAGGTTTTACATGTAGACAAGAAGTGGGTGCACATGCGTAACTATGAAGGATTCTGGAGCATTTCACCCGAAGTCTCTAACCGTTGGTTACAATTATCACGCGGGCTTCAACCAGGTTGTCTACACCTATTAACATAACCCAGTTAATTTGTCGGTGACTTCAAAGACTAAGGTGATTGGGGCATGCGCGACACATGCCCCAACCACCTCAGTTGTTGCATATTTACTACCTCACCAATCATTTTTACATCCTTACCTAGTACTTTATCATCAACTTGGAGTTGCTTGGTCGGTGGTCCCAAAACATGACTAGTGATTCATGGACACCTATGGTTGAACATCAGTACCCTACGAATATCTATCCTTAATGACTATTTCACACTCGCCAAGTATAGCAGAGTGAACTGCTGTGGAGTAAACTCTTTTATTGGGAGACGGATATTTCGCACACATCACATCTGATACAGATTGCTATAAGCCAATCAAGCCTTCTGAATCCGTTCCATGACTTTGTCAGGAATCAGACCATCAAGACTAATGAGACTCAAAATAAGTGGAGCAGTCTATGCGTTCAACCATATCACTCCCCATCGTACGCTAACGCAGGCCGCTCCTGAAGCGACATTCTGCATTTGGAAAGAAAGAATCGCATCCAAAACATGCATTGCTACTTAAGGCGAAAAGAGAGAAGTATTATTCCAGCATCTTTACGAAATAGAACTAAGTCATCTAAATGTTATACGTCAACAAGCAGATCTCAGGTTAGGGGATCAACCCCTGAAAATTCAGACGACGAGAGAGTTATCTGTAAAAGAATGTCTATGACTAAGTAAGTAAAAATGAAGAAAGTGAACAGTCCTGCGAAAAACTTAAAGTTGAAAAATCTAGTGACACCACGATCAGTGGTGTTCGAGTAGAGAGCCTATACACGATTAATGTACTTCTTTGGTGGGCCTTTTAATAATACACCATTTCAGAACCTCACAATTAATAATAAAATATTGCCTTAAGGTCAAGAATAACAATTATAATCGGACATCAGGAGGTATGTCTATGTTCCAGAGCCTGATGAATAGTGAACATTTGGTCTATACATCCACGTCCAGGTCTGAAACCAGCATGGTTTTCCGAAGTTCGCTATTTACATACCCTGGTTAAGCTAATATTTCGGACACCGTATTCTTCGAGTTGACTTCTCTGCAATTGTCACACGAAGATTTACTTCCTTTCTCACAAATTAGGATGATCATCAATTAAGACCAGTCGGGTGGGATTGTGTCCAGTTCCATGATTGTAGACAAAGTATAAGTCAAGCTCATTACTGAGACTGTACCGCCACCCGTTAGTTTTTAAATCCTCTTATGAGAAACGAGGTACTTATGTAGAAATGGGTTAATGCTCGTATAAATGCTTTTGCTTTGCAATGAACATTGTAATACAAAAACTTAAACTAAATACTGACGTTCAAACAGATTGAGTAAAACTATATTTAATCAGGCATTGTATTGACTACAAGTGGTCATGTAGTATGAAACATTGAGTCAAGTGCTTTTAGAGTACCGACTTGTTAACCTGACACACTGATTCTTGGTCTCACGAGGTCATACCATGAACATTTCTGTTCGTCAGATAAACTAGATGAAAGCCGCCAAAACCACAAGCGCAGCGGCCAATTCACCAAAATTGATGTTTTACTGTGGTCAATACGAATATGAATACTACTGGATCTCAACATAACCAACACAGTGTTACCACCAAATGTGGGCGATCATTTGGTGATAACAGCGACCAAATATAAAGTCGTTGAATATCCTAAGCTTAGAGGTTTGGCTTCAGAAATAAATAACAGGGATGCTAGCACTTCATTGTACATTCGGCTATATCTATTCAAAGGGCAACGCAATGTATGGAAAGATAAGTGGTGTAATAACCAGAAGTAGAACTAAAGATTCCATAACTGTACAACAATTATGTGCATCCCTACCGCAGTTTAACGTGCTTAGGTGAGAGCTATGCTTTCGATTCCAATCACAACACAAATACAAAGTGTGAAGTAAATTACTTAAGGTTTCGGTCTTGGTAGTTTTTTGGCCTTCGGTGTGTCGTTTTATAGATTGCAAGACTGATAATCTAATGTCACTTTATTCTTTTGCAATAAAGTTTTCATACCAATTTGCATCCACTTTATGCAGTGACCGTATTGTTTTTTACAGAAAGTACTGTACCAGTCAACAATGATGAATTGCCAAGCAATAACAGTCAAGAGGATCAACCGATGTGTAACACGGAGAACACAAACAAAGAAGCTACAAATAAAGTATCTGCTAACAATCAGACAAATATTATTTCTGATGCCCTCACAACAAACTCCATTAAAGATGCATGCGGAGCAACAAATGATAAACATAGACTAGTCTCTATAGATTCACTATATCACGATATGTTGCCTGGTGCTTTTGATAATAGTTCAACTAATGAAAATGTGCAGTGTCATGCTTGTCAGTTAAGAAATCAAGTACAAAATGGAATGACCATTAACATGGTTTGTGCAGCATGTCCTGGTTTTCCTCGTATTTGTTCAGCACAATGCTTCCGTTGGTGGCACAGCGTTCACTTATTGACACCAGTTAATAAGGAATCCAAGTCTATAGAAGAAGATAAAACTTCTACAATAGAAAACTTATCAAGAAGTTTAAGTCCCTCTGAATTCCAACAATCAAGAAGAACTAAAGAATACAAAGCTCATACAAGATCACTTCCTTTACTTTCCGCATCAGGTGATCTTAAACCGGATGGACGAAAAAGAAAACGTAAATCTCATAGGTTTACACATGTAAAACGACATCCTCCTCAAGGTACTTCATTTTGGGTTAAACAATCTAATAATATTAATCCTATCACTGTACAACCTAAGGCTGGTCGCCCACGAAAAACACAAGTTTACATGAATATTAAAGATCCAGAATGGACACCTTACAGAAAATATTGATCATTACTAAACTAGATACAAATTAAAGAAATGAAAATATACACAATATTTTTCTTCAATATATTTATATACAAATATGATTACACTTTATTTTTCAGCTTTTGACAAATCTCTTCTTCTTCTTCTTCTTACTATTATTATTATAAAATATATAGATCAGTGTCATTTGAAATGTGTTATACTTGAAAGAAATTCTCATTAACAATGTAACGAATACATTGCATAAGTTGATTACGTTCTTTTCGAATATCTTCAGCTAATAACTAAATCAGTGTAATTGTGAAAAAAATATCAATTAAAATAATAATTATAGTTATTATCATTTAAGAAGTGAGTTATTTTTATGTCAACTGATAACTATGTCAAATAATCGTTAAAGTACAATGATGTATATATACATATATACATTGTAGAGGATTGCGAGTCTGCTCAAGTTAAGCGGGAATAGTGTGATGAACCAGCTAACTTCGAAGTCATACTTCGCGATCAGCATCTAACGTGAATTACCCCTTCAACGTATCAAAGTACTATTATGGCTGCTTTGAAAACCGTATAACACAAGGGATGTTAATACGTAAATATAAGAATGAGTACAGAGAAGTTAGTGAGACCAGTCAGCTACAACTTAGGACCAGGTACATATGTGCATCGGTTCAAGTTGCCATACCTCATTACCACAAGATGAACACTGAATTAATAGAAGTAGTCACTTCAATGGTAGTAATGTACAAAAGAAAGGTTTCATATAGGCATATAACAGGAAGAGATAATTAGGAAGAAAGATATAAAGTGATCTTAATCTCATAGTTTAAGGGGAGACAGAGTGTATACACCGACACCACTGTGGTCGATTCTGAGCCATGTCACACACAGTCTCCAACCACTGGTTACGATAGTCGTATGGACCCCAACCAAGTAGTCTGCATCTACCAACATGGCTAAGACTAAAAGTTAACAACTCTATAGACTGGTGCCACGTTTTGGTTAGACCGATCCTAACTTTCTTCCAACCATCCCCAACATTAGTCAGCATTGCGCGCCGTTGTAATCGGTGTTCAGGCATGGGTAACATGTGACCCAGTCATCTCAGTCGATGAAGATTCCCAACTGATTCACCACCACCGCATAGGCCAGTCCATGACTGCTTTAAAGACCGTATAACACAAAGGACGTTATTATGGAAGTGTATTAGTAAGAATTAGTGAGACCACCACCGCATAAGCCAGTTCATGGAGTATGATTAACTCATGCACATTGGTTGTCTTTGAACTTGATAGGGATAGATTATCTGTTCGATATTCAATGACCCAACTGCCGGATGATTTGGTTAGGGCTCAACGACATTTCACTGGTCCTAAAATAATACAGAATAATCTTGTTAAAGTCGACTATAATCCACTTTAATATTGATAACGGTAGCTGTGAATAATTTTTCTGTAAATGTACTAATTAGTATTAGGATGATGTACATATTTTTTAGTTATAGTAGAAATACCATTAAGGGTATACCACTAACTTTCACTTATGCTGGTTTCCATAATATCTATATATCCCTAGTGCTATAAAATCTAAATAAATCAAGTCTAAATCAGTCTTGAGTGCTGTTAGAGGTATGAGGGCGGTTATCATTTCCCAGTTGCCCACACCGTGGAAAGGTTCTTCTGGAGGTACTTGAAAAGGAAATTGGATTGCAGGTGGTTTTAGTGACCTGAGAGTGTGATCGCAGTGCCCAAGGGATAGCTGCTTGAGGTCGGTCACACATGACCTTTTTGTCAGTAATTTTCGTGTTAGTCCGTACTTGTTGAGACCTTACCGCCGGAGGCGGATATTCGTGGGGTAAGGCGGAGTGTGTATTTTTAGAGTCGACCTTTTCTAACCCCACCCCTCCTTGTGGGAAGGCAGCCTTGCTGTCATGCTGGTCTTCTGAAGGAAACACCTTACTGCTGTCACACTTAAGTACAGTCAGCAGTACGACTTCGCCTTCGGACCTTAGGTTTTTTGCTTTTGGTTTTACCGTTCTTCAACCGACCTGTCTGACATAGTAGGATATTGAGGAACGGTTGTTCCAGCCAGTATAGCTCGGCTGCTTCATCACGAAAGGCAAGCCCGACCATCACGTCAATGTACCAACAACGGTCGGGCAACTCTAAATATTTTCTAGTCGAATTATTGACAGACAAGTAAAATATACCTACCATCTGTAGTAGCGTTGGACGACTATGTATACGATGAATGTCACTTAGACATTGTCGTCGTTTAACTTGTAGCTTCACCAAAGGATGCGATGCAAATGGATCATCTTGAGAATTTTCAGTATTTTCGTTATCTGGATTATCATTGGTCTTGTCGCCCTTTTGCTTTCGTCCGCGTTTTCGACGTCGACTGCTTGAAGTATTATTGAGCTAAAAATTAAACGAATATTTCTGGGTAATTTCAAGAGAGAGACAGAACTTGTTATTATTTTTGTAAATATTATTACAATTTATTGCTTAAAATACTTTTGTAAATTAGTTGAGTATTAAGGATAGCGAAGCAGATGTAGAATTATCATCCTATTTTAGATCTCAATGATAGAAAAACTATGATTTTTTAAAATTTCATTTTAACACATAGATATTCGTACAAGGAGACACCAAATAGTTATGCGCCACGTAAAATCATTCGATTTGTGTGAGGGCTGGGATATTGCCCGGGTGCCCAAACCGAAGCAGATGGTTTTCTTGGGGGACCACACCCGGAACCTTCGACCTGAAGGTCTGATCCACGAGGCAGTGGAGCATCGTAAGGAGATGCAGTCCCATGGTAGCCGGTGACCAACGATTGGTTCATGTGCCATTTGTTCCTTCAGGATCGTGGAGCCCATGTGCATCATTGGTTCGGAATCAGGGTTTTCCAACTCCCCTAGGTGGATCCTCCATGTCCACCGCGGTTAGAGCGACGAACATTCGCTTTCCGTCCTCTCAATTTTGTAAACAACACCCCCGCCACGAGAAGGCAGTGAAGTTATTTCCGTGTGATCGTTACTACACAATCCCCCTTCCCCAACAATTTCATGCACCCTTTCGAGAGAGTTTTCTTGTCATCCTCAAAATAAGACAAGTATGAATGACTGGGTGATTTGTCATGATTAAATTTGAACAGCAGAAAATATATGAAGACCATAAAACACTCCGAAAAGATAATATGTCTAAATTTTAATGTTCGTGTTTGGGTTCTTCTGTTGCCTCCGTTTATATGCTTGAGGAGCACTATGAAATAACTCACTACGTTATAAATTTATCTTGGAAACGAAATGAGCATAGTATAAAACGGCGAGACTATAATTTATGGACGAACGAATCACGTATAAGATAACAGGTCTTGGATTTTGGTGCGAAGTTAACTCATCCATTTGAATAAATAGCGTTTTGGCATGATAGCTCATGTCAGTTTGTGATGACCCCCCTTCTGAAAAATCTAATTCCTAACCTTAACCATCAACTGTAAATCATAATTTTAATTCTTCACACAGGTTTATAACCCTCATTTGGTCCTCGTTATTAGATGGGCACTCTCAAGCTCAGTCTAGCGTCTCTCAAAGGTCGTCCAAAAATTATAGTCTCACCTGTAAAACAAGTCACATATCCTATACCTTCGGTCATCATAATCAAAATCTTACCTTTTCTACAGATTCTGTAGTAGGATCGATTATATCACAGGAAGATTTATCTTTAACAGTAATATTGTCATTATCTGTGCTTTCACTGTCGTAATCCGTAGGGACTAAGCGTATGCTAGATTCTTGATTTGTAACGACTGAATTGGGACTATTTATTTGACATTGTTTTGAAGTTTTACTAGTTTTTTTCGACGAAGTTGACATCTGTAGGATACAAATGGTGGGATGATTAACTATCACTCAGTAAATATCAATGGATAAAGACGCAATTGTGATTTTGCAAAAAAAAAACGTGTTGGTTAGTAGTCATCTAGTGAACTGAGAACCATTAGAATTATTTCTTGTTAGTTTATGCAAAACGATAGCATTGGAAAATATTGACAAGCATATATAGGTAGGTTAACAAGTAGGATCTTTAAAGACTAAATGAAACAATCGGTTGACTTGTCGCAACTAACTTCTCAATGTTTACAGTTTATTTTTTCATTATCATTGATACTATATCATTTTGAATACAATGTCAGTCCTCTTGTTAATGTGATTCCACAATGACAATTTGGTAATAACAGTTTAAGTTAATATCCATTTATGCCAGACTCTAAGTTAATTACGACTGACTGGTCAGTAGGATTCCCTCTCATCACTTTGCGGTATTTATGTAAGTAAATGTTTAAGAACTAAGAAATTCAATTGTTAGCATACTGCATGGACAACAGTTTTAAATATACGTATATGATATGAGAATTGCATAATACTCTTCAAAAATCTGTCGAATATTGCATTAAATGCATTTTAGTTATTATTTACAAATGTTGTACATTGTGATATCAGAATTTATGGGACTAGAACTGATAACAATAGTGATCAAGACAATAAGAATAGTGCTAAGTTTCAAAATTATCACTAATGAATAACCGTATATGGCTGAAACTACACACCCTATATGTAATTTGGTATCATCTTAAGGTATAGATTTCTCATTATACCAATAAGCATGAATAGGGAATTTGAAAATTGAAGAAAAATACAGATTTACATTACTTTGTTAGATGAAGCATTGACTTCACCTATTTGTGATGAACGTAGGACATTTGAATTCGGTTTGTTCATCGAACTAAAGTATAAAAGTGAGACGGATAAATACAGTATTATAACGATGTAAATTAATAGTAACACAAGGCAGACAAACAAATTGTATTATCCGCTAATATAGTACAATGCAATTCCAGATTTTACATCTTAGGAAACCACTTTAAGTGGACTAATAATAAATGAGCACAGTGTGGGATTTTCGAGGTAAATAATTTAAGGTTTCAAATTACGTGCATGGTATGATAAATGTTATCTAACCGCACATAACATACACAAGCATGTTGTATAAACTCACCACCATTTAAGATATATTCTACTTTAATTCCTATTTACATTTGGCAATATGTGAAGGGCTTGTTACAATGATTATACATAATGTCTTGGATATTCATTCTTATACAGTGCAAATTGACCATAATCATCTTTTAAAAGTTGCTAATTTCAAGTCTTAAGCCTTAATAGACCTTAATAATTGAACTTTGACTACAAAAAGAACATCTGATTAACATGGTTTTGCCTTATTTGCCTATGTACTTATAAATTTGCTAAAGGTTAAATAGCATGTATAGCATCGTTTCATCTCTCAGTACAGATGTGGTTTGATAACGTGAGGCAATCCAAGTTTGTAGGACGTCGTGTGTTGATGATAACATACCAAAGAGGGAAATTATGCCTACGATTAGTGAAATGGAAATCATTTACAGGAGCCATTAAGGTCACAGCTCCACTACCTATTATATATATATATATATAAGTGTATTTTCATTATTGACGTTGCTTACTCACATTTAATGATGATTCCACAGTAAAAGGATAATTAAAAGCTGAAAGAAAACCAATGAGATCACACACTGTTGTACAATTATAATTTCCAAGATGTAAAAGTGTACAGAACAAGCCACGTTTTGGAATAGTGAGGGATATTGAAGTCTACTCAAATTTTAAATTCAGTGGTTTCGGATATAACAAGAAAAGAAACTACTAAAAATTACATCGTTATAACATCACCATATGTTAAAATTAAAAAAAAGGAGATTACCCGAATTGAGGTGTCTCAAATATTTCTCCTCGCTCTATACGTTCTTCAATAAGCTTCTTTTTCGCTTCAACTCGCTCCGTAGTTGGATAATTTCTGAGAAATTAGAGTGAACAATACAAAAACGTTGGTGATATTTATTACTACACACCAAAATAATCATTTCACAAAAGAAATAGTGACATTTAGTGTAGAAAGAGATCATTCAATACCATGTGTCCAATTTGGGTAAACTGCAAAATAATGAAAATCTAGAAATTTATCACTTTAAAATACAATTTTTGGCATAATATAAACGGAAATTAAAGCAATCAGACATTAAAGAACACTGAAGAAATAAACATTGGTAATTCAGTAGAAAAGTTAGAATGAATGTCACAACCAAGGGTTTTCAAACTTCTCATTCCTAGCTTTAGTAATGACACAATTTATTAAGTCAAGATTTGCATGGCTGGATCTAAGCCAAACATTGGATGTAAAAGCTAATGTTGCTAACTGGCTGCTTAAACGAGTGATGAAAAAAGATTCAAAAATACCTTTGACCTAACCACTGCTATGAATCCGGTGTCCATCTTGTTGTGCTGATGCGGTATGGCAACCTGGACCGATGCACATATGTGCCTGGTTCTACGTTGTAGCTGACTGACTGACTGACCAATTATGCATCGATCTACGGCTTCTGGTGTTGTTATTACTATTCTCACTCTCACACTAATTTTTGTTCATTTTTTTCTTTTATTATAATCACCTTCCTTTTTCCATTTCTACAAGCTTGTTTTTATCGTGGCGTATACATATTTAAGTTCCCCTTTGTACCAATGCTTATGTTTGAATAAATAATACTAAACACATTAAATAGAATGTGGTTTCGAATGGAATAAAAATACATTTACGGCTGAAAAGAGATGGACATAAGATGCCCTCAAATGCCCTGGTACGGCCGAGAGTGGGGAGAGTCAGCTCTCCCTCTCAAAATGCTCTCACATGGCCACGCGTATAAAGCCTCTTCCAAGGAAGTCCTACTCACTGCCTTCTCGTGGCGGGGGTGTTGTTTACGGAAATAGAAGGACGAAAAGCGAATGTCCGGCGCTTTAACCGGATTCCAAACCAATGGTGCACATGGGCTCCAGTATCCTGTGGGAACAAATGACGTATGAACTAGTCGTTGGCCACCGGCTTCCATGGGACTGTATCTCCTTACGATGCTCCACTGCCTTGTAGATCAGATCTTCAGGTCGAAAGCTCGGGGTGTGGCCTACTAAGAAAACCACCTGCTTCGGTTTGGGCACCCGGGGAGTATCACAGCCCACACACACACAAATATGATGTGGCGCATATATATTTGGTGCCCTCTTGTACCAATATTTATGTGTTGAAATAAATAAATATATGTTGTAGCTGACTGACTGACTGTTTAAATAAATAAAATGATGTGAAGTGTGTAGCTTTCATGATAGCTCTTACGTTCACTGCAAATAAGTAATATTTTATTTTGAGTACGGCCATAAACCTTTTGAGTATCAATCAACTTTCACCTTATTTACTCAGAGGTCACTTTATAGGTAAGAAAACCATTAAAAATGTCCAGTTCTAATGGGCTGCAGAGAACAAAGCACCTAGTTAGTACGCTTTGTCTTTCAGTAGCTTTTAAACTTGTTGCAAAATAAATTCGAATAGTTACTAGAACGCATAGTCTACTGATTTTTATGTAAAAGACCATACTTCATATCTTATTTGAATCAATCGTTATGGTAATTGCACGAGAAAAACCGTAGTAATCAACAGGTTAGTCGTTCTTATGTTCTTTAAAACACACCATTCACAAATACAGGAAAAAACTTTTACAGTACCAATGTCTTTTATACTTTACAGAAAAGATAAATAATCTGGGTTCCTATAAAAGGGAAACCCTACTGATACTTTAGTTGAAGAAGTCTTACCGTTTACGGCTTTCTCTCCAAACTTTTACTGACTTATCGCAAGTTTCACGGTAGATGACATTAAACAAACCACTCTTGTGAATCTGTAAAAAGGATATATAAATGACAATTTATAGAGATTTACTGACCACTTCCTGATGGACACGCATTGCTTTCTGATGTGACGTAAATGGGCAGCCCTCAACAGGACACTTGGTCAAATATTATTTGACAACCGAGCAAAACTTACTTTAACATGACTATCTAAATGTCTTTTATATTCCTCATTAGTGTAGAAGGCGATATCACAGCATATCCCCACTGGATTATAATAATCGGGATCTTCTGCTTCAAACCCTACACCATATAGTCCTCCGTTTCTCCTCCGACGTCTACGCCTTCCCACATCTTTGAAAAGCTTGCTTTGATCCAACTCTTCAAGTGCAGTTTCTAATTCATTAAGTATATCTGACGTAGTATAAAGTAATTCAAAAGGTGGTAGTTCCATGACGATTAGTTCGAGCAATCTCAAACGAAAAACAACAAATAAATAAATTGACTAGATAGTACAAACAGATGTTTTAGGATTAGAGAACAGGAATCTGAACATGACACAGTTCAATCATGAGTGAAGCAGTATTTTTAATGTACAGAACAAGAGACTACTGTGAATTTAACTAAATCTGCCTACCATGATATAACTGTCTAAATGAATAAACAAGGTATTACTCCAAAATGACATTATAATCTCTAAAATATGTACTGAGTTTCGAACCTAGTTGTAGAAACATTTATGTCCAAGTACAGATTAAGCCTTTAATACCAAATGAGGCATTCTAACCGGATTAAGAGATGTCTCCTTATTTGGATAGATGATGCAATATTTATTACGAACTAAATCTGGCTGAGGAACCACAGAAATCAGAGAACGCTTCGTACCTGTTTGTGACTCATAACCACGATCACTCAGATAATCAGAACCAAGACCTTAAAATACTGGACCAGGCGTTGCCTGTTCAGAAGGATGATTCAGGCCAAAACGATTTTATTTTTACCTTACATCATCTATGAACAACTTGGGATGTAATTTGAAAAACACCGAAAAAAACATGGTTTTCTTCATGCATGAGGAAAATCAACGAGCGGATCTAGCTGAGGGATGAAACGACAACAAGCAACTAGATTGACTTGAACACTTAGGCTTTCTACTTTTATTAATGTCAATATATGCACAGTACAACATATCCATTCTTATTAAATCAAAGGGTTACGTAAAGACATAATACCTCACGCACTCAACTAGCAGCCAATTTAAGGAAGAAAAAACAACAAGGTTTAACGTCGATGAGTGGAATAACTACGTCTGTAAATTTTGATAGGCGGACAATTTACGATAACATGTGAAAAAGAATAACATATGACTGTAACCGAGCAAGTTTTACGCCCCGCCGAAAATATCATAATCAATTTATTGACTTTCAAACCTTTGTGTGAAGTTCAAAAAATCATCGTTATTATGTCAAGGTGGGAATTCCAGTGGTTGTGAACGGAGTCTAAAACAGCTTGTGTGTCTAGTAGTTGTTCATCGATGTCTTCATGTCGAGACGTTGGTATATTCAACAAACGAAAGAGAAATATTAGGTTAAAATGCTATAATGTCTAAGGCCTAGAATACATCAAATTTCTTCTTGACGAACATCCAGGAAGTTGTTTGAATCACCCCAGCTGCCAGAGAATTCCGGGGTCTGACTATCGGCAAAGAGTAGGTCAAATATGTGCGTGTAATTTCCTGTTCGCCGTATTTTGCCTCTGATTTTTGGGTATCACCCCCATGGTTTGTGTTGACCATGAATTTAGATGGACTTCCAGAGGGTGCTCAGGGGTATGTCGTCAGGTGATCACCTTTGAGTAGCTTATATTTTTTAAAGGCAAGGGTGCAGTGATTCTAGACGGACAGTATGAGGCCTGTACATTTGCACACGACATGATTTATTGTCTAACCTTAGAATAAGTTCTACAGCATCCCTAGTCCTTGAAGAAAAAGGAAGGAATACTGTATTTCTATGTGTTAAAGGAATTTAAATAAAGGTGATGAAAATTAAGTTGCAACAATTTCTCACAAGCAACCATTATATTTTCTTCGGAAATCGTGTTATTTGTCAGTATTCTCGTCTGAATGAGCCTCATATGCATAGCCAATGAACTTTATTACTCTATTATTTTCAGCTGAATAGTTCTTGGCTTCTCCACAGCCTTTTGTATTTTATGATCCGCTAGCGAAGTCGCCAATTTTAGTTTGCTTTGGTTATGTTTTATCATGTCTTCGCGTGGTTTGTCCGATTGTACAAGGATTTCAGAAGACATCTGTCGTCGGATTGCGCAAAAGTTCACGAGAATGACAGCCATTACCTTCGATAGAAATTCGTTGCCTGGGATTTAGTGCCACTTCCAGTCAGCCAAATGGATTTGGGGTCTGAATACCTCTGAGCTTTGATATGTGTCTCGAGCTTCCATCTCTGATTATAAAAAGCTGAGTCCCCAAGCTTCATGGTTTGCTAGGATTTAGGTTTAGGTCGGTAGTATTGCACTTACCTATGCTACTAGAGCAATAAAATCAATCCAATATTGTTAATTTCCCGTGATTACTGCTCAATTTATAGGATATTATGTGGAATCCACATCATTGACTATGGTATCCCGTTCTATTTATAACAGTCAGAAGTATGCTTTATACGAACCCTTGAAGGATACATTCGGTCTAAAAAAAAGAATAAAAATTTTTGTATAAAAAACAAGAGTTTACACAGTGACCAGGCCTGGATAACTGAGCCATGCCGTCTCGATTAAATGTTCCATTCTTAGCCTATTCTGACCTTCTTCAAGTGTTCAGCGCTTAATGTAAGTCTTCTCATTTATTGTGTGTCCAGCTTCGAGGATCTTGGGGTTAGGAACCAATGCTAATGTATTTTTTCGAATTCCATGTGCATTTATGTTGCTTACTTTTTCCCTAACGTTTCTTAATATTCCTATGAAATTGCTCCAAATACGATGCATTTGGAAAAATTCACACATTTCAATCAGACGTGATCTAATAACTAGCCTGTCAGACATTCTTTACGTCATCAGCACTGGCAAACGTAGCTCGAAATACTATTGAATGGGTTGGGTGTTTAGTATTTCTTCACTGAAGAAGCCGTATGATTGTGTTGAGAATTCTATATTGTACCGAAATATAATATTGAATAAAGCCATTAATAATCATAATAGTGTTTCAATTTAAAGTTTTGTGCAACGTCCGAAATGCCAAAATTCTGTTTGAACGTAATATTAACGACCAGACTACATTCTTCTGTATAGAATACGGAGCGTCTCTGAGTGACTCATATTAAATTACATCAAAAAGCAAAATTTTCGTTCAGTGTAAACGGTTCCAATTCAAGAAAGAGAACAAACCAACAAAAATACGGAATAGTTCAAATGGTACAGACTGTGCTATACAATCAAGGGTTTCTGAAACATGAACTGGCGTGCTAAACGACAAAGGGAATAGTGAACAAACAAGAGTTCGATACCTGGGGATCAATAGTAGTATTTCTAACAACATAGAACTGGATATCTATCTGCAGGAATTACAGCAACCTTTCCAAACAAACAGTCAAAAATTAAATCATGCACTGAACCACGCCTTGTCTTTGAGCTTAGTCAAACGCGACCTTATTGTCAATAGTTCGTCAACATGCTAGAGTAAAACCATCTAACAAGCAAAGAGTTTTTAAACAAAGTCACATAATAAAAGCTCTGATGAGGAATATTGAAGGACATTAAGTTTGGTCAGAAGAGACGGGCGGCCTGCTTGAGCATCTGGGCTACCTGTTCCTGCCATCTAGATATTTCAACAAGTTATCTATTGTTGTTTGTTTTAATATATCATTATGTTTATCAATCGCATAACCTATTCTGCTGCGTTTCTGAAAAGTGTACAACCTTTCGTTGTCAAAGTTACAGAAAACTCAATAAGAGACAATATGGTTGCTGGCAATGTACAACGAAAAGAATGTACATTATTTAGTTGTTCATTCACTGAAGTGCTAACATCTAACTGGCGATTCTTCAATACTTATCGCCAGGACCGACCAAGAAGAAAGAAACGGAAACTTGTTGAAATACTTTGCGCTGAGAATTCTATATTGTACCAAAATTATAATATTGAATAAAGCTAATAATAATAATAATAATAATAATAATAATAATAATAATAATAATGAAGGTTGAAATACAACACAGCGTGTAGGAAAAAATAAGTGACAATATTGTCCAATGAAGTGCTGTGGAGGAAGTTTCAGCGTCTTTTTTCCGTTGCGCCCTGGCTCCCAAGTTGTATCTTTCTACAACATCTCATGGTTTTTTGCAGAAGACTGTGGTAAAGAGGCTGTTACAAACTATTTGAAATTAACTGTAACATGAAAATTGCCCCGAATCCTGACCTATCACTCAAGCTTCCGACCATTCTAAAGATTCGTCTGATGAACTTACTGGATTGAGGTTCACAGTTTTACGATTTCTAGTAAGTAGTTAAATGGCTTTGGGGGTGGATTTTGTGGCTACAACACAAAACCTGGTATTCTTCTAATATTCAGGCTTTCAACATCTTTTTAAGTGCGACCTTTGATTCTCACCGACCTGATCATATATGGGTCCATTCGTTGTCTTCCACAAATTTCAAGGTGAGCACTCTTTTTGTTGGGGTGTATACTCTAGACGACACTAGCTTATCAAGAGAATCCGATGCTTAATCATACCACAGCGCCTAGTTGCAGTATATCCGCAGTGACGTCGGTGCTTGGTCTATCACTACTCGCTATGTCTGAGTTCATTTTTTCGTCTCACGATCTATCACTGATTGGTTATAAGCTTAGAACTTACCGCCTTTCCCTATCATTGAGGGTATTTTTTGTTAAACTTGGTCAGAAGAATTATATTACTCGCCGGCTCCTCAGTACTTCTATCACAGATGACACGTACACACTTGCGATCACAGTTCATTAAGTTTGTGTCAAGCAGCCTCCGTGGGATATGTGCATTTCGTGTGTAGTCACCCCATACATTTATCACATCGTGTAACATAGTTGGCAGTAGGTCCTTAACTAGATTGCTGATATATGCACTACTTTAGTTGAAGACGATATATCCGAACAGCCAGTGTACTTCGATACTCCTGTAATCTTATTAGTCACATTGTTTAGGTGGTCTTGTATCACACACCTTTTTCGAAGTCCTGCTAATTATATTTGCAACCACGACCATGTATATGCCTTCAAAGATATCTTTAATCGTTAAAATCGGTTAATGTAGAACGAAGTTGAAGTATCAATGAGTTCTTCACAAAACTTTGCTTTTGTGTTGTTGTCTGACATTGGCAGTAAACGTTTACGCGTTATGTGACAAGTTGTATGAATCTTATCACAAAAATGCTGATCAGACATCTCTATTTTACTTTGTTCTTGTAGGACAAGTCGAAATTTGAAAAACGTTGGCATATATTAAACTAATGAAATGAACATAGGAACGTGGGTAACAGTACTTCGTCAGTTTGATTGTTCTATACATAAACTGTTCCAGTATTTTGCCATAAACAGTGTTGATTAAGATTGCCGAGTCATGTTTGATTAGCCAAAATCTAAAAAAGGGTAGATTTACTGGGGACGTCAGAGTAACCTAAAGTCATAATGTAACTTCAATAATGTAATAATAAAGTTATCATAATCTTGTGGTATATTGGAGCAATACATTTGAACGGTGTGATTGCATGCATAAGTGTTAAAGTAACAGGTTTAATGAGCAAAAAGAATTTAATTAAAAATCATAGTAAGTAAACTATATAGAAAACCATATGTACCATCAGGCTTAGTCATAAATCATTGTTGCCAGGGTATGTTTATAGTCAACAAAAACTGTTTTGGGACTCATGTTTAGGGTTGCACTTTTGTGCAATCAAGACTTTAATAAACCTTGCATATGACTTGCTTTCATTCGGTTTCTTTGTTCTATTTATTTCTGTAGTCATTTTTGTACACGTTCAGAGACCACAACCTGTGAATCACAATCATTTACCTATTTGATCTTTACTATTTTTGAAATTAATCTAACGCACGTATCTTGTTGCGCAGCGGTTTAATTAACCGAACGTTGAGAAGCTCATTTATGATAAGGCTCATAAACTGTCTATCAGCTTAAGTTTGAAAATTTATCGTAGATTGGTAGCTATCAATTTATTAGACATGCTAGCACATTCAAATTCGTGGTCGGATTTCCGAGTGTACCAGCCGGAACTTCTGTTCACAGAAATAGATGAACTATATCGTTTGATATCACGATAAACCAGAACTCTGTGAAAACCGGAGAGCGATCATAGGCATTTTGACCGGTAAAAACTAGTGAGTGTATGGCTCACAAAAAACACT